TGCTAAGAAAGGACGGCCAAGGATAACGGAAATTTAATTCTTGGGATTTGGGACCGGTTCCGTGTCAATAACAATGAAATCAACAGGGAAGAAGAACTTATCAATCTTAATCAACACATCCTCAATGATACCCCGGGGCTTTTTGATGGATCGGTCGACAGGTTGCAAAACTACCGACGTCGGTTTTAAGTCTCCTAAGCCCAATTTAACATATGCCAAGTATGGAAGAAGGTTAACACTTGCTCCTAAGTCTAAAAGAGCCCAATTAATGACATGGTTACCAATTATGCAAGAAGTAGTAGGTGAACCGGGGTCTTTAAACTTTGGGAGAGTGTTGTGTTGCAAGATAGAGCTTACTTGCTCGGTCAAGACCATTTTCTTTGGTGCTTGGCTCTTGTTCTTCCTCTTTTGGGTGCAAAGATCTTTTAAGAACTTGCCATAAGCCAGAATTTGCTTAATTGCATCCAAAAGTGGAAGATTGATCTTCACTTGTCTAAACACTTTGATGATTTCATTCACTTTGGTCTTTTGCTTTTCAAGAGAAATGGACCTTTCAAGGCGTCCGGAAATGGACCTCTTGGCTCAAAGTCTTTTTCAAAATCTTTTGTCACAACATCTTCAACACAAGAATTCTTTAAATAATTGTTCAAATCACTTTTCAAATCATTTTTTAACACTTTCTCAACAAAATGATCATACACATGTAATAAAGAGGAATAGAATGTGAAACGGGATGGGTGTCAACTTTTGATTGTCCATAATTCTCCCACTCCTTAAGGTCGTTACCGCATTAACATGTTTAATTGTGTGACTTTTATTGGTTTCTACAATGAATTGTTGCTTTGGTGGTGCATTTAGAGGCATCTTCCCTTTCTTTCTAGCATTCAAAGTACTAGTTATTTGCCCCGACTTGGGTTTTTAGCTTAGCAATGGATTGAGAATGAGAATGAAGCAATTAAGTGTTTGCCTCTAGAGTGCCCAAAGCGGTCAACACTTTCTCTTCAAATGCGGGACTCCTACAATTTCCTTGAGAATAAGATAACTGATTAGGAAAATGAGAATTAGAAAATTAGTTTCCATGTGATGATTGAAACGAAGACCTATAACCTTGGGAACCTTGGCTTTGCATTGGAGGTGAAACATACCTGCCTTGAAAACCACCTTGGGGAGGGTTTGAGCCTTCCCCTTAGCTTTTCCAAGAGAATTTTGGATGGTTCCTCCATCCGGGATTATAGTGTGAGCCATAGGGATTATTCCCTTGGTTAACAAATGCAGCATTCACTTGTTCATGATGCTCATTTTGCGCATGTCCATGGGGACAATTGGAAGTAGTATGTAAGACACTATAACAAGTCATACAAGATTCATTTGAAACATGATGAATACGATTAGAGGGCGAAGACAATTGATTTGCTGAATTTGATTGTGGTTAACCAAAAATTGATCAAACCTTTGAGTTAAGGATTTCACGTCGGCGGCTATGTCATTCGAATTGTCAACTTGATATAAGCCAACATTTTTCCTTCCACCTAGAATTCTACCATTTTTAGAGGACAAAGATATATTCATGGAATTTTCACTCATACTTTCATACAATTGCCAAACATCATTCTCATGTTTATCGAGGTAAGAACCACCCATAGACCCATAGATGCATCTACCATTCCTTCTTTATTATCCGGCAAACTTTCGAAGAAGTATTGAACTAATTACCATTTAGGAATGTCATGATGTGGACATTTCCTAAGAAAATTATTAAATCTTTCCCATGCCTCATGAAACAGGTCCCCTTCCCCTTAAGAAAATTCACAAATAGAAGTTCTCATAGCATTGGTCTTTGATACCGGGTAGTACTTCTTTAAGAACTCTTGTTGCATTTCTACCCAAGAAGTTATCGAAAAAGGCCTAAGATTGTTGAACCAATATTTTTCTTTGTCCTTAAGGGTAAAAGGAAAAAGTTTAAATCTTAAAACTTCTTCTGGCATGTCCGTGTATTTCACGGTGGAACACACTTCAAGAAACTCATCCAAATGTTTGTACGGTTCTTCACTTGGAAGTCCATGATAGTTAGGAAGCATTTGAATGGTTTACAGTTTAATCTCATAGTGATGTGCTCTAAATGAGGGTAATTGAATGCATGTCAGTGCATTATATTCATTTGGAACATAATGATCACGTAAAGCAATGGGAGGATTCCCAACCGGTGGTGCTAAACGACCATCGTGATTAACTTGAACCATGGGAGGTTGTGGAGCAAAAATTGGCCGAGGCATTCCCAATGGAATTTGGCCTTATTGTTGTTGTGGAATGAATGGTCTAGGCATGCCTAATGGTATTTAGATGTTATCATGATGCACATTAGGGTGAATGATGCCTTGTTGGTCTATATGACCAAGGTCCTCCACATGGTCGTCATGCTGCTCCTCATTTGATGAAATGGAGTGATAAGAACCACCTCATTTCTTAGGATTACAAACAACAAATTCAAGATGGAAATCAAGTGGGACAAGGGTAGGATTTAATGACCTACGACCATGTATGCACTAACAAAACAAATAACAAGTAAATAGCAATCACTTCGCCCCCACAACAAATCAATCAACAAATATCCACATACAATGATTCCATACTCCCATCCTTGAATAATATGTAAGAAAAAGTAAATTGCCTCCACGCGGGCTCACGATTTATCTAAGAAATTAAGAACTTGCCACCACGCGGGCTGATGATTTAACTAGAGATTGAGTTAGAAAGATCTCACAAAGGGTCCTTAAGCAACTTCAATTCATTTTTCAATTTTTCCACTTAACTTTGCAAATTTTAGATTTTAGCCCTTTTTGTGCTTAGCTTAACTCCTTCTCTTTCATTTCTTCTATGCTTGACTTCCTTGCTCAATTCACATAGCCAAATAAGAACAAACATATAAGTAACTAACAATAAAGTAAAAACACGATCAAAAGAGTACTAATTTCTAATTGTTTCCAAAACATGGCGTTGCCAAATCAATCCCCGGCAAATGCACTAAAACTTGGTGTGTTCTTTCTCAAGGTCGTGTTAACACCCAAAGTTGCAATAAAAGTGTGGCCAAGTTTAAATTTATAAATGCCATTACTACCTCTAACTACTAATATAGCTAGGGTTAGTAGGGATCGTCCTAAGGGATTGCGGGCTATGTTGATATGGAAACAAGGTCAGATTAATAGGTCGAATGATTAAAAGATTGTTTATTTGGTTAATTAAACTATAATGTAAATAAATTCAATGTAAAGCAATTAAAATAAATAAAAGGTTAGAGAACAAGAGAGAGAGGTCTTGGGATCTAGAGGTCACTATTAAACATCACCATTCTAGACACTCAATGTATAATGAATAAGGGGAAATATGTGTTACAATACAAAGAGGTGTGATTGATTGAATCAATAAGCATGGATTGACTAATTAAGCATATAATGTCTAGACAACCTAGTGAATATCACAATATATCAAACTAAACCATTAATCCTTCCTTTAAGCTCGCAATTAACACACTAACAAGATAAAGAATTGTACTACTTGCATTCATAAGTATGGAACATCAAACAACAAGCATGGATTGTCTTCATATCTAAGAAAGTAAAGCAACTACACTACTTCTATGCTAAAGATATGAAAATTAAACTAATTAAACTAAGGTAGAGGCACAATCCATCAAGAAATGAGTATGAACGATCAAACAAACCACAAGAGTATATTATTGAAGCACTATGCCTTCACAATATCTAGATTCATAGCATCAATACACATAGACATGCATCAACATCACAAAACTAAGAGATAGACACATGAACATCTATTCTAGCATACATAGATATATGGATAGAATGAAATGATCAATTGGAAGTATTAATCAACACAAATCATTATAAGAACAAGATTCATATATAAATCAAGTGTCAAGAGAATATTATAACACCAATCCCCTCAAAATACAAAGCATTAAGGTCTAGAAGGCATGCTTAGGGCTAACTCTAGCCCCAAGAAGATGTTTAGCCACTAATTGATGTAGTCATCCAACCCTCAAGGACTATCTCGATAATAGAAATGCTCTTCTCCTTGATAGAAACCCTAGAAGAATGGAAGAACTCCTAAAATAGTGTATGTCTCTCTAAGCTCTAGCCTCTTCTCCAAGATATGTGATTCTATAATGTCATATGAGATATGTTAGTTATGATGTAAAAATGGCTCAAAATCCTTATATAGGAAGCTCAAGTGTTACACCAAATGGTCAGGTCTCGTGCACTAGGGTCCCTTTATTGATTACACCATGAGCCATCTTTTAATGAGCTGGACTCTGTTTTAATTCGGACTTAAGGAGGTTCGATCGATCGAATTCAGATGAGATCGATCAAATTGTGGCCAGATCCATTGAATTAAGGCCAGATCGATCAATTCTTGGTGGTGCCTTTTTAGAATACGATAAATCTCTAAGAGATTTTGGGAAAAAGATAAAAGTGGTAGATGGGGATAAAATCAAGGAAGTTCGATCGATCTGAAGAAAGTTAGATCGATTGAAGATGGAAATTCTTTGAGGATAAGGACAAGGGGTCTGATCCATCTTGGTGAGGTAAGATCGATCAATGTGAGATCGATCGAAAGTATTCCTGATTGATCGAAGATTGCTGATTTCCACCACTTTGCTCCATTCTTCCATTCAGCTTGAGATTGCTTCTTTTATCCTCTAATTTAGCCTAATTGACTTATTTTGGGGATAAACACCTGAAAAGGGCAATAACATGAAATTAGTATAAGACGGGAAAGTAAGATAGATAAAGATCCTAGAATACCCGAGCTTAAGGGCTTTAAATGCACACTTTTCAGCGCTCATCAGAGACCCTTTCAAATTTGAGGCCCTAAGGGACCGTTTAGGTTCCTATGCCCAGGCCGACCTTAATAATTGGTGGTTCTCTCTAGTTTTTTTTTTTTTTTTTTTTTCCCTGGCATACAATATAACAATAAAGACACTAACAACCAGCTGCAATCCTGTCTAATTCCATCAACCGCAAGAGCTCTGGAGGGTAATAGGAAAGAATCCAATCCGCGCCCAAAGCACCATTTGACATAAATGCAAGAAAATGAGCAACTCTGTTTTCATCCCATCGAATATAACTCACTGAATACCTTGGAAAAGAGTTCAACATTAAGGAAATGTCATAAGTCAATGAAGCAATCTTAATGGGGAATGCATACAAACCAGACAAGACATCAAGAACAATCTTAGCATCCAATTCAAATAACATAGCCAGGAAATTAAACTCCTGCGCCCAACAAATTGCCTTTTGAAAGCAAAAAGTTTTCGCCACCAAAGTCGATGAAGAAGGAAAAGGTTTAAAGACCACAACCCAGACAATGTCTCCATAAGAATCTCTAAACACAACACCACCACCAACTATCATTGCATCCTTAGAGAAACTAGCATCCACGTTACATTTAATAACCCCCTCCATTGGCTAACACCATAGATTATCCAACACTCTTGGTGACGGTTTCTGCAAAATAGTTCCACACCTTTGCTGCACCTCCATAAATTCCCAGAATCGTTCCACAGCCAGGGTACTAACCCTCAATAGAGACCAAAATTCATTTTCAATTTATTTTTATTTTTATTTTTATTTTTTTATAAAAAATTTTGGCCATCCAGATATTCCAACAGCAAAAAGACACCACGCCTAACAAAAATTGTGTATTAAATGGAGAACATACCTATGTAGACAGATGATTCCACCAATCTGAAAATGATAAAGGATGCCCCCATGTGAAGTCCAAGCGTACAGGGGATAACTTCCAAATCTGAATTGCATGAGAGCATCTGAAAAAAAGATGAAGAATATCCTCATCTTCCAATCCACAGCGAGGGCATGAAGGATCATCTAAACAGTTTATGCTAACAAGGGTTTTCCCTGTAAAATGACGTCATGACAACACCTCCATAAAAAAAGTTTCACTTTTGATGGAATTTTACATTTCCATAGCAAATGCCATGGCACCCAAGCACCTTGGTGACAAACCACACGAACCTTCTTACTACGACTTGAAACCTGAAATAGAGCAAAAGCCAATTGGTATTGTAACAGCCCGAATTTCAAGAACCCAGAGCGTTAGCGAGTAACCTTAAACCCAACCCGATATTGAGTTCGAAATGCGGAATCGAAAACAAAACAAAAAAAAAAAAAAAGAGGTCAATAGAGGTAAATACCACCTCTAGGACAACAATATAGTCTCATAAGAAGTCTTAAGACAAAATTCGAAGACAAAAGCGGAAGCTAAGGTCAAAACGAACAAAATACTAAAGGTAAAATGTTACCTAAAGCATTAGGAAATATAACTCTAAACAAGTCAAATTAAATGATCTTAATCCAAACTAAACAATTTGAGACATCCAAAGAGTTCCTAAGACTCAAAGTCAAGGTTTCCCAAAAGTACCCCGTCTCGGTCAAGTGATATCTCGACACTGTCCCACTAAAATGCATATATCTCTCAGTAGGTTTGGAACATGAATATGGGATTGGTACCATTGGAAATCTAACTCAAAATCCTTGAGTCTAGACTTAAGAATAACCTAATTTGGATATGAAATGAGGGAGTTATGACTGTTTTAAGATCAGGTGAAAAATTTATCCAACGCATGAACAGTAATGCCACATTCTGCCCAAACACTTAAAGTAGGCTCCCGTAATTGTTTTCCAAGGTTTAAATTGAATATACGGTGTCCAAATACACCCAAATGACCCCGAAATATCCCGAAGTGGTCGGTTCGATTGTAAAAAAAAAAAAAAAAAAAAAAAAAAAAAAAAAAAAAAATTGGTGGATGAATTGTAACTATGACCAATGTTTCAAAAGAGAAAACCCAATTTTTTGTATATTGCTCCTCCTTACCCAAAAATGATGCCTAATGCCGCTAGGGTCAATCCCAAGTAAAATTAAGCATTAAATGATATACACACTCATCAAAATACATGAAATAACACAAATACATATTTTGATACAAAAAGGGTCCTTTAAACATGCATAGAGAAAACAAAGTGGCCCCTTTAGCCTCAATTACATTGTTTTGAACCCTATTGACATACATCCTTGAAAGTAAAATATAGTAAGCTTACAATACCAAGATATAAAATATATCATTGAGTGTACAATTCCAAATTGCACATTGAATTACATATACGATAAAATGTAAACATAATGAATCGAAACATGTCATTAACTCTGATTGTTGTCCCAAGCAACTCCTTTCCTAAAAAATGTTTGTATAATAGGAGGTGAGCACAGCCGCTCATTAAGGAATGGATTATATAAGTAAATATGTCCTCCGAAATCCCAAGGGCATACAAGAAATGCTCGGTATCCTAAGGATGAAGGGTCATACAACCTAAAGCCGAAGCTTCATGAAATAAAAATGAGATTATACACCCTAACTATAATTTTCGTAGCATGATAGTCTGACTCAACTCAACTAGTCACATAATCAAATCATGCATTAAAATACTAAGTTGTCAAATAATAACCACAAAGAACCATGAACCGAATAAGGCACATTATCACATAATGGCTACCACGAAACTATAACCATAACGAAATCCATATGATCCCATAAATTATGAACTCAATGCAACCCATGAACGTCACTATGATGCAACTCACAACTATAACTCCATGATGCAAAATAATGTTGTGCCGGAATCAAATTCTGCACCTAGAAACAAATGAGTGCCCTTCTGCACTCTACGGATAACATCTATCCATCAAATGTAATATATATCATGAATGTCGTGCTATGCACCTAATATACCCATAAACCCAATGATAACTGATAAGTGCTCAATGTTGCACATTTTAGCACCTAAGTTATGGTATTTTAGTCCATTCATCTATCTTACCTTCCCGTTTTAGTTCTAATTTGTTTTTTTTGTCTATTTCAAGTCAATAAGGTTCAAACAGGCTAAAAAGAGCCTATTAGCTCCTTTTTGGAGTCAAGAAGAAAATCTGGAAAAAGTCAAAAACAAAATGCACTAGAGTATCTTCGATCGATCGAAGGTACTCCACGATCGATCGAAGTCTTCTCGATCCATCGAAGTTAAGGTGATGCCAGCTCAGTGGATAAGGTCGCCAGGTGTCAAGATATTTATGCCACGTTAGCTGTGATACCCCCGGATTTCTGAATGTGGGTTGTCCAGGCCCACGCCCGAATACCCGAGGATATCAAAACAAATGGCAATAATCACACACAAAATATAAATATGATTAACAAGAATATATAAAATGCGGGAAAAAAACTAAAATGATAAACCAATAACTTTCATTAATAAACAAATTCCTCTGATAAAAGTAATCCTCCAAACAATAATACAACATAGGAATCCATACTATGTGGACCCCTAGAAAATCCCGATTGAACAAACTGATCTAAAAAGGAAAACCAAAACTAAAACATAGCTAATAGTCCTACATAGTCAGAAGGGTGAGTGACTGTCTCTGCTTAGCACGAACAAGCTCTAAAACTGGTACCGTCCAATACCTGAAAAATAATAGTGGGTCAGGCCCACGAACAAGTTCTATTCTACTGCAATCCAAACAGAGACTCATACGCATATACATCCTAGACAATCCCAACAATAGCTATATAGTCCATAACTATATATATATATATATATATATATATATATATATATCCACACTAAAGGACTCTCACTAGACTACAAAGGGGGTCTCAACCTGAGTAGAGGCAACATACAAAATGCACCTGAAGTGGGCATGTGTAACTGAGCCTAACAGGGTATACCTCTATCATCATAGCCAGTTATACATTCTAATGCATATACGCTTTCAAACCATCGATCCTGAGACTCAATCTCATATCGAGGTACCTGATGATCACTAAAAAGTGCGTATTTAAACCCCTTAAGCTTAGGCATTCTAGTACATTTATCTATCTTACTTTACCATTTTAGATTGATTTCGTATTATTTCCATTTTCAGGCACTTATCCCAAAAATAAGCTAACTCAGCCAATAAGAGCTTAATTGAAGCAATTCTGGGATTAATCAAAGAAAGGAGCAAAGTGGAGAAAGAAGGAAGCAAATGAAGCCAAATGTGGCAAGTAGCAAAGTTCAATCGATCTAAGTTCAAGGTTCGATCGATCGAACAATGATCGATCTCAGCACTTCAAGATAGATCCAAGCCGTGACCCAAAAGCATAAAGTTCCAAAAGTTCGATCAATCCAACACCATCCTTCGATCGATCGAACACTTTTGTCCTTATTCAAATGATTGATCATATCCACAGCTGTACCACCCACTAACCACTTTTGTTCTTTTCCCACAAATATCTCGGATTTGTCTTTTTCCAAAAAGCTCAGCCAGTTGGATCGATCCAGCCTAAGTTCGATCGATCTCACTTACTTTTGATCGATCCAAGTTCAAGGTTCGATCGATCGAACTTCCTCTAGTGCAAAAAAGTTAAAATTCCATCTCATTGAAAGTTGTCCTTTATACAATCATTAGGGAATATTGTGTGCATGACCCCATCTCATTTTGGGTGTCATTTTGACCTACCTATATAAGGATAAGGATTGCTTTTTCAAAGAGAGCCAACATTATTTTCATATCATCTCTTGGAGGGGAAGTTTGGAGGAGGAGGAGGCTAGAGACACCATTGGAGACTCTTCATTAACAAGGAGCAGATTTCAACCATGGAATTAGCCCTTGAGGGTTGGAGCATCATCACCATGAGTGGCTAGACATCCTCTTGGGGCTAGAGTTAGCCCCAAGCATGCTTTCTATATCTTAATCTTGTGTATTATTGAGGGATTAGTGTTGTAATTGATGTTTTGACACTTTGATATATATATAGATCTTGTTTATTCAATGATTTATGTGGTTTAATGCTTCCAATTGGTCATTTCATTTTATCCATATGTCTATGTATGCTAGAATAGATGTTCATGTGCTTATCTCTAGATTTTGTGTTATTGATGCATGTCTATGTGTATTGATGCTATAGATTTAGAGATTGTTAAAACATTGTGCTTAAAAAAATGCTTTTGTGATTCTCTTGATGGTTCATGCTTATCTCTTGATGGATTGTGCCTCTCCCCTAGCTTATTTTCATGCTAGTAGTGTAGATGTAGTGTAGTTGTAGTGTAGTGTTAAATGGGAGGACAATCTATGCTTGTTGTTTGATGATCCAAGCTTTTGAATGCAATTAGCATATGTCTCTATCCTTGTGTTGTATTTGGATTGTGAGCTTAATGAAAGGATTAATGACTTATTTTGATTTATTGTGCCTTTCACAAATTGTTTAGACAATATATGCTTTATAGCTTAGATATATTGTGTCTTTTACATGATGTTTAGACAATACATACTTAACTAGTCATTCTTGCTTTTGGAACAACCAAATACACACATACCAATATTGCAACCCACTATTTGCCCTCATTAATCACTT